AAGTGGCGCTGTGGCTCAAGTGGTAGAGCGCTAGCCTTGAGCTGAAGAGCTGAGGGACAGCGCCCAGGCCCAGAGTTCAGGCCCCACAACCGGACCCCCCAAAAAAATACTCTTTCTGAAGATCAGTACTGAGTCACCATTTCCACAATTAGAATTCTAACCCTAAGCTAGAAATGAACAGCTGGCCAAGCCTCGGTTCAATTAAGGGACAAGGCAGACAGTCCGAGGGTGATGGAAAGGCACTGCCCTCCACAACTATTTCTATCCGCCGGCCTTCTGCTCTCTGTATGCCCTCCCTCCTCCTTTCCCTACTGGGTCCTCTCCTTCCATCTCTCAGCTGCCAAATGGCACTGTAAGGGAGTTCGGTGAAAGACCTATGAATCCCTTTGAATTGCTCTCTATGAAAGAAGTTTTGGCTCTTCAAATAAAATGGAACTTTACTAGTACCCTACTTTCTAAGGAATGGCTTAGGGCAAGTGGGAAGATCCTGGGGTGATTTAACATACTAGTATTCTAAGCAGGCTTTCAGCATGTCAAAAACAACAAACCCAGACAGATGTTAGTGGCTCATGCCTGTAACACGAGCTACTCAGAAGGCTGAAACCTGAGGACTGAGGTTCAAAGCTAGCCTGGGCAGAAAAGTCTATGAGACTTTTATCTTCAATGAACCACCCAAAAGCCAGAAGTAGAGCTGTGGCTCAAGTGGTAGAGCACCAACCTTGAGCAAAAAAGCCAAGTGAGAGCAGAAGGCCCTAAATTCAAGCCCCAGTACTGGTGTGTGTGTGCATGCATGCACGTGCATGTACACACACACACACACACAAATAAACAGCAACAGCAAAAACAAAGTCAGGAAATCTGAACACATTTTTTTAGTAATGATCTCATAAACACAGTTAAAAGGTAGCATTTCTAGATAGCCCCCAAATGACTCCATTCAGGAATCTTATTGACCATGGAAGAAATATGGGCACTGGGACAACCTTAGAAGTGTTCTAGCTTATCTTCCCTTTTTTTACAGTCTGGGAAATGGAAGCCCAGAGAGGGTACTGAGATCCTCCCAAGGCTGCACAGCTCACAGTGCCCCAATTAGCAAGGAAACCGATCATTTTTCACTTACTTCCCACTTCCAGCTTTCTTTCCCTATGGCTCCATGGAGCTATGTACTGGGCCAACTGTTTAGGTTACTTTCTTCCATTCTAGCCTACTAGAAACACATGCTAGAAACACAGGTGACAGTACTTATAAGTTTTACTATTCCATGAGAATCTTAGAGGGGTCCTTATACCTTTTATAAAACTTCTTAAATATGAACCAATGAGCTCATCCATCACATAGATTAGAAAGTACTTTTAAAGTAAGTACAGGTATTTTCATGTGTGTGTATGCCAGCAACATGGTTTGAACTCAAGGCCTTTCACTCTTAATTGGCTTTATTTGTTCACAGCTGGTGTTCTAAAACTTGAGCTATGCCTCCAGTCTGTCATTTTGATGATATCAGAGTCTAGGGGACTTTTCTATTCCAAGCTGGCTTCCAACCTGAGTCTTCTTTCAGTTTTCAGCTTCCTGGGCAGCTGGCATTATTGGCATGAGTCACAGGTACCTCGCTCCAAGTTGAGACTTTTTTCCCCCGCTCTTACTAGGTAAACAACACCCCACAACTTGATAATGATGGCATTTTATTATTCCATCTATGCCACAGACATAAGCTATAGGTTAAATGTCTTCAAATTTATTACAGAAAAGATAATATATATATATATATATATATATATATATATAACTCAATTTTCTCACTCAAATTTATTTCTACTAATGTATAACCAGAACTCTCATCTAGGTTCTGAGGGGGAAAAATAATTTATTTTTAAACCTAATGGGAAATGGAATTTCATGAATAAGTGAGCAATAATTTGTGGAGGCAATGATGAACTGAGTAGAAAAAATTAGTGATTAAAAATACTTAGTACCACTAGTTTGTTAACATAAATTTTAAAAGCCGCAAAGTCTTCAAATTAATAAACAATTTTCTAGAGTGCAGGAACTAGTCATATCAACCATTACCAAACCATACTTCTGGATATGTAATGGGGTTTTTATTTTAATTTCTTTTGAAGTTTTTGTGTGCTGGTACTGGGGCTTGAACTTCTGGCCTCATACTCTAGCTTTTTCTGCTCGAGGCTGTCCCTTGTAGATAAAGAATCTCACAGACTTTTCTACTCAGGCTGGCTTCAAACTCATACCCAGCTTATATAGTACAATTTTTAAAAGCAGGCAGTAGTTACTATGAGGGAGAATCTTTTACAACTTTAAAATGAAAACTAAACTGAAACATTATTATTCTTTCATTGCCTAAACATTATACTGAAATTGCAAAAATCATACAGTTTTTATATAGATAAATGTGTTCATACAGTCATCTGTACAGTGAGCGTTTATTAAACATTTGTATTTGTGTGTGTGTGTGTGTGTGTATGTGACATTGTGTTGTGCACTGTAAATGTTCAAGTAGTTACAGTAAGGCCCCTAGCCTCAGAGGACCAATTTGTACTGGATAAGAGAAGCAGATTTGTGACAAATAGGTCAAAATACAAGTATGCTGCTTAGAAAGTTAAAGAGAGACTCCACATTAGTAAACTACAACTAAGGTTGGCTGGGTCTCCTCACACCCAGATCCTACAAACCAGGCTTTCTGTATGGACTAAAAGACCTCTCAGAGGCCTTTCAGTTTTTTGGAATGTCCTGATATCATTTTAACTTATTGCAAAGACTACTTAATGTAGGGAAGACTTCTCTCCCTCCCTCCCTCCCTCCCTCCCTCCCTTCCTTTGTTCCTTCCTTCCATCCTTCCTGTGCCAGTATACTAGGGCTTTAACTCAGAGCCTATATTCCTGCTTAACTTTTCCACTCAAGGATGGTGCTCTACCATTTGAGCCACACCTCCAGTTCCAGCTTTCTGGTAGAGATAAGTGTCTCACAGACTTTTTGGCCCTACATGGTTTCAGTCTGGAGGCTCAGATCTCAGCCTCCTGAGTAGCTAGGATTTCAGGCATGAGCCACCAGCAGTCAATTATTGTTTGAATTTTTCATATGAATGAGGTGGTCCCTATGAGACCTACTGTATAAAAGTTACCATAAGAAAAAAAAACCCACTAACTTAAAAGTATCATTTGAGGAAATTGGGTGTGTTCTTTTTCTTACTGGTAAAGAATGAAATATTACCATCATTTTAAGACCACTGTTAGCCATGGACTGGTGAACAGACAGCTCTGTCCAATACATCGCCCTGGCATAGCTTTGTGAATTACTACAGGAACACGTGCACTGCCCTTATTCCATGCTTATCTCAACAGAAACCCAACTGCTGAACCAGTAGAATTTGTGCCAAATTAGCTGATGTTTACTTTGAACACACAGGCATTGGAAAAATGAATCCCCTCTTTTTCCTCTTTAATCTCTTAATGTTTGTCTTGCAATGCATTTTATCTTAGTGTGGATGGGCTTGCAACAGCAAGTCACCATGGTTGTGAGTTTTTAGGTGAGAGCCAGGGCATAATTCACTTCTCAGCTGTTTGTGCCATCTTTGCTAAATAGCCTATTTTGGAGACACCTTGATTAAAACAAAGGGTTCCAGTCACACATTTTCACGAACCACGAGCTCCGCATAATAGGATGAATCCTGACCACTAGTGCGCGGAGCAGACAGCAAACGGATCACTTCGTCCCCAGTTTCCTGACTCTTAAAAGAAGAATCACTATAGAAGGTAGCTCAGAGTTTCTCATTCTGTGCGAATGAGGATTCTGTGCGAATCCTTCGCACAGACACATCCTCTCCAGAATACCGATCAAGAAGTCATGACGATCGTGGCACCAAGAACTAAAAACGACTTCCTCTAAAAGAAAAGAAAAAAATTTAAAAAGTTTCTAAACCAACACTCTTTGTGCCCCCGGGCGATGCTAAAGCCAGCGCCCTGGCACTGCACCGGCCATGGCGGCGACGGCGGCTGCAGCCTCGCAGGTGGTTTCGATAGTGCATCGGGTCCCTGCCGTTCGGGGCTGGCCCCAGCTCCTCAGCCTAGAGCCATGACCTCCCCATGAAGAAACAAGTGTACGCCAGCTTTGGCCAGCCAGTCCAGAAGAGCGCGCGCCCCACCGGCGCCTTGGGCAGCACAGACACCGAAGGTCAACTGTTCCCCAAGTTTCCAGCAAAGTTTACCCCAAGGCTGGCTCCCCCCGCCCCGATTCTGGGGCTCCCCACAACTCCTCGAAGAAGCCCCACAGCCGCCCCCCCCCCAGGAAGACTCCGATCCCGCGTGTCACCCGCCTGGCCCAGAGCTTCCCAGGATCCCCGCGCCCGCCGTGGCGCGCACAGCCCGCCTTACCCCGCTCTGCCGCGGCGGCCACCCCGGCGCTGCTCCCCGCGGGGCTCCCGGCTGCTCTGAACCACGACTCCTCTCACCCGTGCGCCGCCGCTTCACGCGTGCGCCCCGCGCCGGCGCCTGGCCTCCCCGCCCCGGCCGCCATCCCCGCCACCCCAGCACGCGCCGAGCTCCGCACCCCCAGCCGCAGCCCCGGCTCCGGCGCCACGCCCCCCGACGCCGCCGCCTCACCTCCGGCCCGCCGCGGGGGCGGTGCCACCACCGGCGCGCCCCACGCCGGCGTTGGTGGCCTCGCCTGGCGCACGCACCCTGCCGCGCGCTCGCTCCCGCACCCCTGCAGCCCACCTTGCAATCACTGCGCAGCCTGAACTTGCATCCTCCGCCCCTCACCTCACCCCCACCGCGCCCCTGCGCCCCTCACCGGCACCCTGCGCTTCCATTCCCGCACCCCACCTTGCACCTGCATGCCACCCCTGCACCCCTCAACTCACCTCCATCCCGCGCCCCACCTGCATCCTACACCGCCACCGTGCACCTGCACCTGATCTCCCCCACCCCTGCCCTCGGACCCCCGACTGCCCACTGGGGACGTGGAGCCTGGACGAAAGTCTCCCACCACCCCCACCCGCGCGCTGGGTGCCGTTGGGGGAGCTGGGAGCCGCGCGCAGCTGCCTGAGACCCCGCGGGCCCAGCGGGCGGGGTGTGGGTGGAGGGCCTGGCCCGGCCTGCGTGGGACGTGGACGGCTTCGCCGGCGGTGGGGGCGGCCCAGCCAAGGTCCAGGCTCAACCTGGGCAGAAGTTCTCAGCTGAAGGAGAGCCGGCGAGCGCGGTGCGCGGAGGGGGCGCCCCAGCGACAGGAGCTATAAATAGTGGGGCGAGCCTGGGTCCTGTCACACACACTTAATTTAGCGAGCAGGCAGACCAATTCTCATTTTTAAAAAGTAACTTGTTCCAGGGCGCTTGAGATTTGGCCAGGCTCAAGATGCTGGGGACGTGTGTCCCCGTGGGCCACGGGCCGCCCGCTCCAAGCTCCAACTGTCCTGGGGACCGAATGCCAGTGCGTGGCCTCACCTGCTGAGGCTTTCGTCTCTGAAACCGCAGGATTGGATTTACTTAAAAGGGTCTAGCTGGGGCGTGGCGGAGAATGGGATATTTAATAAACAGTCAAATTTAAGGCGGGTGCCCGCGGCTCATGCCTGTAATCCTAGCTACTTGGGAAGCTGGGATCTGAGGATCGCGGTTCAAAGCCAGCCCGGGTAGGAAAGTCCACGAGACTATCTCCAATGAACCAGACTATCTCCAATGAACCACCTGAAAACTGGAAGTGGTGCTGTGGCTCAAGTGGTAGAGCACTAGCCTTGAATTGAAGAGCGCAGGGACAGCGCCCAGGCCCAGAGTTCACCCAGTTAAATGCCAGTGCTCTTTCTAATGGCTGAAACTGATCTCAAAATAATCCTTATGAGTAATACATGCATTTTATAAATGGGGCAAAATTTGACTTTGTTTTTTCCCCCCAGTCTCCATAAGGAGCCGCACTTAGAGCAATGCACTTGCTCTACAAAACCAGCTTATTTTGTTGAGATCTTTCTTGGATTTCAGGTTTTTCCAAAAAGAAATCAGAGTGTGAAGGCATAAAGTGTCTTTTTCCTTTTGCAAGTTAGAGGAATATGTAATATGTAGTGTTTATGTGACCTTAGGTTTTATGTGTGTGTATGTTTGTTGATGGTTAATTGGCGATAAGAATCTAAGACTTTCTTGCTTGGAGTTGGCTTCAAACAGATCTATAGATTTCACCCTCCTGAGAAGCTAAGATTACAGACATGAGCCACCAGTGCCCAGCTTAGATAGCCTAGACTTAGTTTTTTTTATAAATTGTGAAATATCATAGAAGCTTTTTTTTTTGTCGGTCGTGGGACTTGAACTCTGGGCCTGCGCGCTGTCCTGGCACTCTTCAGCTCAAGGCCAGTGCTCTACCGCTTGAGCCACAGCACCACTTCCGGTTTTCTCGTTGTTTACTGGAGATGAGTCTCACGGAGTTTCCTACCCGGGCTGGCTTTGAACCGCATTCCTCAGATCTCAGCCTACTGAGTAGGATTACAGGCGTGAGCCACCAGCGCCCGACTAGCTTTTTTTTTTTTGGTTCATTGTGGGACTTGAACTCAGGGCCTGGGTGCTGTCCCTGAGCTCTTCAGCTCAAGGCTAGTGCTCTACCACTTGAGCCACAGTGCCACTTCCAGTTTTCTGGTGGTTAATTGGAGATAAGAGTCTCATGGACTTTCCTGCCCAGGCTGGCTTTGAACAGCAATCCTCAGATCTCAGCTTCCTGAGTAGCTAGGATTACATGTGAGAACCACTGGCACCTGGTTTATGGAAGGTTTTAAATAATACTTAACTCTGGCTGGGAATGTGGCTTAGTGGTAGAGTGCTTTCCTCACATGTATGAAGCCCTGGATTCAATTCCTCAGCACCACATAAACAGAAAAGGCCAGAAGTGGTGCTGTGGCTCAAGTGGTAGCCTTGAGCATAGAGAGGCTCAAGGACCAGGACTGGCAAAAAGAAAACAACATATGCACACACACACACACACGCACACACACACACGCACACACACACACACACACACACAACTTGAGTTTCTATTCTCTGAGAAGCACAAAATAGTTTCTATTTACTTTTCTCCACAAGTATGGGCATTTCTTTTTTTAATGTTATTTTCTTGTAAAGATGCTGTACAGAGAGGCTACAGTTACAATGGGCATTTCTTAATACTTGTAGTGAAACATTGTCTTTTATTATTAACAGTGGAAATATAAAGCACCAGTGGCTCACACCTGTAATTCTAGATATTCAGGAGGCTGAGATCTGAGGATTAAGGTTTGAAGCAGCTAGGGCAAGAAAGTTTGTGAAACTCTTACCTCCAATTAACCACCAAAAAGCTGGAAGTAGATCTGGGGCTCAAGTGGTAGAGCACCAGCTTTGAGAAGAAAAAGCTGAAGGACAAGGCTCATGCCCTGAACTCAATCCCTAGGACAAGCACAAAAAAAGAAAGAAAGAGGGCTGGGAAGATGGCTCAGTGGTAGAGCGCTTGCATTGCATACATGAGGCCCTGGGTTCGATTCCTAAAAAAAAGCTGGAAGTGGCGCTGTGGCTCAAGTGGTAGAGCACTAGCCTTGAGCTGAAGAGCTGAGGGACAGCGCCCAGGCCCAGAGTTCAGGACCCATGACAGGACCCCCCCCCCAAATAAAAAAGGAAAGAAAGAAAATATAATATTGCAATGATTCTCAACTTTTTACTTAAAATGATGTTATGTAGCTAAAACATTTGTTCACCATCTTCATAGCATTATTCAATAGAAACCCAAATGTCTGAGGGATAGATATAGAAAATGGGATGTAGAGCTGGGAATGTGGCTTAGTGATCGAATGCTCGCCTAGCACGTATGAAGCCCTGGGTTCGATTCCTCAGTACCGCATAAAGGCCAGAAGTCGGGCTGTGGCTCAAGTGGTAGAATGCTAGCCTTGAGCAAAAGCAGCTCTGGGACAGTGCCCAGGCCCTGAGTTCAAGCCCCAGGACTGGCAAAAAAAAAAAAAGAAAAGAAAGAAAAGAAAATGGGGTGTACACATATAGTACAATGTTATTTTTGTCTTAAAATGAGGAAATTCTAGCATGATGTCAGTGGTTCATGCCTGTAATCCTAACTACTCAGGAGACTGAGATCTGAGGATCACAGTTCAAAACCAGCTCAGGCAACGTCCATGAGACTCTTATCTCCAAGTAACCACCAAAAACCCAGAAGTGGGGTTATGACTCAAGTGATAGAATGCCAGCCTTGAACAAAGTAAGCCAAGTGAGAGTGCAAAGCCCTGAGTTCAAGCCCCACGACTGGAACAAAACAAAAGCAATACAACAAGAACTGTATACTTAAAATGGTGAAATTAGTCAATTAAGTTATGTCTATTTTACAATTTTATATGATCTTGTGTAAATAACAAAATTAAGATGGTGGTTCCTTATTCCCATTACATATTTTGTAGGTAGACAAGGTGTTAGATGTGTGATTCAAATTTTAGTTGTAATGGTGGTTTGCTTCTCATTTCGTTTCAAGAAAGATTGTATGGAAGATAATTTCAGGAGGAAATAACATATATAGGTGCATATACACATAAGCTAAATTACAGCAATAGATAGATCCCATTTCTACGTTCTAATAACATTTGTATCAAAGAAAGCACATTTATTTAAACTTCTTAGCTCAGACTGCCTGGATACCAAGAGACCTTTCTCTCTCTCACTTTTCCCATTTGATATAAGATATGCTTGCCATGGCTGCCATCTAGTGGTCATATCACAAACTGCTTCCAAGGCCTGAGAAACTGAATGACTTTTTGTGCTTTGCATAAGCACAAATATTTGTATAACCACAAACATTTGTTACCATATTTAATATAACATCAAATTTGTTAATATTTGTATAACCACAAATATTTGTTAAATGAATCTGTCCTTTCTGTCCTTTTTCTATGTGGCAGATGTGAGCCACTAGTGCCCAGCTAAACCGACCCTCTTTCCCTTCCTTCCTTCCTTCCTTCTTTCTTTCATTTTCCTTCTTTCTCTTTTCTTCTTTCCTTCTCTTTCTTCCTTTCCACCACTTTGAGCCATAGCACCATTTCCAGCTTTTTGATAGTTACTTGGAAATAAGAGTTTCATGGACTTTCCTGTCTAGTTTGGCGTCAAACCTTGATTCTCAGATCTCAGCCTTTTGAGTAGGTTTACAGGCATGAGCCATTGACATTGGTCTAAACCTTATTTCTTAAAAATTTCTGGTTTCTGATCTTATGTTATTGGCATTAGAAAATGTATAGGCTGTTTTCTTTACCAGCTCTTGCAAGATCATGAAAATATAGGAGATAATTTTGAAGAAGCAGTTGCAATCAGAAGAAAAGTATGAACATGCAATGTTCAGTCTCTTATTTTGCATATGATATTAAAATGTGTTCCCCTCATATGGACTTGGAAATATACACTGTGGGAATTCTCAGATGACTTGTATAAAATATTTGCTGGACAATCTATTTATTACAGAAAATTGAGAGATTAGAAAACTGAGCAGACAGCTCAGTGATCAGAGGGTAGGAGAGTGGAGAGTGCTGGAAGTCAGTAGAAGTACAGATTTCCTAGAACCACGAGGGTGCTTTGAAACTGTTCTTTCTTTTGGTGCACATTTTGTATGTTGGATTTGTTTCATGTTGTTGAGACAAGTTCTCCCATGTAGCCCAGGCTAGCCTATAATTTTTGATACTCCTGCTTCTGCCTCCCAACTCCTGGGCTTATAGGCATGCACCACCACACCTGGCAGATATGTACATTTTCAATACTTAATTATTTGCAAGACTAGTCAGGATGAAAGTGTGATAAGCCATGTAAGCAAAAATATTCAGAGAACCCTGTTGTGGAGAATGAGCATACTTCCTGAGCTCTGCACCAATGTGAATGCAAATATTTGGAAGTCAATTAAGACAGAACTTAATTAATGCTCAATTAATACTGGTTGAATGCGACCTCTAGTAGAAGAAGGGTCTTAAAAACAAGGAGGAAAACAGTTGACAACACAAGACAACAAGGATATAGAAGTCCTGGCCTGCTTAATTATCCTCACACAGCCAGCACCATCTTGCT